CCGCATGGTCTTGTGACTAGGCTTGTCGCCCCCTGGGGTGTAATGAATTAATTAAATATTAAATAATAAGCCCAGCATGACTAAACAGTCACTCACAAGCAGTAGATGCAGGTAGTGGGGTGTTAAGCTTGAGAGATAAATCACATAATGTCGGGAAAGACCTCAGTAACTCCATTCCATCCTCTGGGCATTCCAAGTAGCTATCAAGCTCCTTCAGTTTGTGGATGATTGTTGCCTCCACAATGACCGAGTCTGATTAAGACTCACTGTGGGGTGTGGCTGTCGTGACATCACTCTTCGATTCTTATTGATGAGTGGCTGAATTTTTCGCACCACGTAACATCTGGCGGGTGCTGGCGAGGGGTACTTAGTCATTTAAGCAGAAATTTAAACAGTCAGTCAGTCTCATACATATATATAGATACCTACTTTATATCTAAGATGTAAAGCATTTTAGAATCACAGCCTCTTTGAAATTCATTTTAGGTACAGGTACATGCAAAGAGCAACTGACGTCTAATGGAAAAGTGAGGGAGATGAGAGGAGATTTGATGAGGGAGGGGGGATACGAGGGTAGGCAAGGTGAGGTGGGTAGTCAAGGTACTAATGGACACAAGAAGATCAATGGGAAAGTCCACTGTCATGGCCACTACCACATGACCTGACCCGACTTCACCTCACCTCATGAGACCTCTTAGGATGTGACCGCGTGGTGTCTCCCCCATACCCACACCATACCCTTCACGGCCCCACCCATACCATACTCTCCACCAGCACAACTCTTTTATTATGGTTAATTATTGATTAATTAATTAAAATATTAATCTGCCACAGACATTAAAACTCTTTGTTTGTTTGATTGGGTCAGGTAATGAGTAATGATTTTTTTTCAATTGTATTGGAGTAAAAGTACTTGAAAACCATACTTAAGTAAATGTACTAAATTTTTTTTATAACTTTCTAAAAAGTAGATACCCAAAAAGTTACTCAAGTACAGTACTCAAATAAATTTATTTCGTTACTTTACAACTCTGTTTTGTCTTAATGTTGCCTCTGCAACATTCTGTACATACAGATAAATGAATGTAAAATATAATGCCCTAAGATCACATGTATCTTGGGACCATGAACACAAAATATCAGGTATGCACCACGCACCACACTGTTGTACAGAGTATTCTGCCACTGGAGCATGTGACTACCCCTGTCCATGGTAGCAAGTGTTCTAGTGGAGATATATAGGTTACTTATTGATGACCTATAGATTGTAAAATTATTTTACTGAACTGTACAGTATATTTAATGTAACCATTTTTTTTCAGGCTTTTGTATACCCACAAAGTGTAGTCTTACACATAGGAGTTGGGGCAGTGAGTCTTGCTGCTGTTGTTTACTTCTTGCGCTGGGAGCTCAGGCCATTCGTGGAGAAAATCCTGCATTTTGTTAGCAAATTCCTCTCAAGAGTTAGTAAGCAAAATGAGCATATGGACAAAGACCAGTTTAGTAGTGTATCAGTTGTGAATAAAATACATTGGCTTTTGTATAGGCTCTAACTATATTGATATGGTATGTAAGAAGCAATTTAATAAATTGTTACACAGTGAATATTTATAAAAATATACTATAGAATATAAATTTCCTGAATAAATATAGTTTATAGTTTCCAATGCTACACGAGTCAACAAGGTTTTTGTAGTACAGTTGTACCCCACTTAACGCGGTCAATTGAACCCAGAGGGTCCCGCGTTAAGTGAAAACCGCGTTAAGTGAATAACAGAACATATGGGATTAATTCCAATAGAACCCAGCCCAACCCCCAAACTCCACTTTTTGACGACAAATAACTATGTTGTAGTAAAAATAACATCTTAATTTTATGATGGTACATGCACACAATTAATACTTAAGAGAAATAGAGAAATACAGTCGCCAAGTTAATGTCCATTCAAATAATGGACTCAACTCCCTCCCCCTCTTCTCACACTACACTCACTGGCTCTTCCCTCTGAGAAATTTTTGGGGGAAAACCAGGTATAGTAATAAATAATTCCTCAAACTAAAGTTAGGATAATATAATTGACATTGCTGGATTCCTTGTAAGACCAGGAATATTTTGAATATAAATGTCATATATTTTTCACAAAAGATAACATATTTACTCAGAATAAACTTTACATCTAAAATTTGTATGTCTAATGCAAAATCTATGATGTTTATATTCAAAATGATCAGCAAATTGTAAGAATTCCAGCAATGTAAATTATATTCTGGCCAGATAATTTGTATGAATTTTATGAGCTAAAACAAATATCTTCAGTTAATAAAAAAAAAAAAATATTCTTCGACACTATCTGTCAATCAAAGTACCCCACCTTGCCTTCCCCCCCTCTTCCAACCGCGTGGTCAGTCCCAACCCTCCCCCCACCCCCCACCAATCCTCCATTCAAGAGTTTTTAACATTTAGTATTAAATAATACCTCAGATTAAAGTTAGGATAATATAATTGACATTGCTGGATTCCTTGTAAGACCAGGAATATTTTGAATATAAATGTCATATATTTTGGACAAAAGATAACATAATTACCTAGAGAACAATTTTTATCTAAAAATTGTATGTTTAATGCAAAATATATGTTGTTTATATTCAAAATGATCACCAAATTATAAGAATTCCAGCAATGTAAATTATATTCTGACCGGGTAATTTGTATGAATTTTATGAGCTAAAACAAATATCTTCAGTTAATAAAAAAAAAAATAATTCTTCACCGGGTAACAGATGGTCGGTCGGTCGGTCCCTCCCTCCCCCCCACCCCCCACCCCCCACCAACCGTCCCAAGGAGATGTGTGGGATAACCACTAAATTTTAATAAATAATACCTCAAACTAAAGTTAGGATAATATAATTGACATTGCTGGATTCCTTGTAAGACCAGGAATATTTTGAATATAAATGTCATATATTTTGGACAAAAGATAACATAATTACCTAGAGAACAATTTTTATCTAAAAATTGTATGTTTAATGCAAAATATATGTTGTTTATATTCAAAATGATCACCAAATTATAAGAATTCCAGCAATGTAAATTATATTCTGGCTGGGTAATTTGTATGAATTTTATGAGCTAAAACAGGCAGTCAGGCAGGGTGGCGGGTGGGGGGTGGTGCGAATCTAAAAATAGCTCTCGAGCCGGACACTCACCGCGTATATGATGAAAAATGCCGCGTTAAGTGAAAGTTCAGCTTTGGCAAGGCACCGCGTATATGCGAAAACGCGTTAAGTGAAAGCGCGTTAAGCGGGGTAATACTGTATTGTTTCTTTAATGTGAAATGCCATTAATGCATGCAAAGTAATGTACAGGTACTTATGGATCACAAGGTTTTTATTCCTGAGAACCCTTACAACGTGCAGAATTAAAATATGCAAAACCAGTCTTCCCCAGAACAAACTTTGTATGGGGGTGTATTTTACTGGACACACACACATTCTGTTTGTAGTAGACATATATGTACATGCACACTGGAGCTTACATTAAGCTAAGCAGTACAGTACTGTTATATTCCCTCCAGCACATTTTATTAAAATATTTTGTAAAATGCTATTAATAAAAACCCACATTAAAAAATAAGAAGTAAGTTTTTGGTGGAAAAGTGACCTGTTGGGAATATTTGTTTCCCCCCACCCTCTGTAGTAAAAGGGTTGAGGCTTACCATATCCACTCGTGTGTGTGGTGCCCCACGTAGGAGAAAATTACAGTAGTACCCCATTGAAAGCTCAGGATGCGTTCCTGGAGACGAGTGCTTTCAGCGAATTCGCTTTCAATGGGGTCATTACTATAACACACTTGATATGGAAATGCATTCCTAACAGTGTTATTTCTTACTTATGAGTAGTACATTTGATTAAAGAATAAACCAAGGTATGTTTATGCAAACACATAATGCACAGCGGTATCACTAAGTGCTCAAGACACTGTTGCTGTAGTAAGTGCTAATCCTCTTGAGCCAGAGCAACAGAGCTAGGTGTGTGTTGGTAAATGTCTCTCAAGATACCTCACGTTTTTCCTCGAGATGGTTAAAGATGCTTTTTAGTCTCCATGATAATGAACTTATGGCATGTGGCACCGAGTCTGGAAATCCATCCACTTGCCTAGATTGCTCAGCAAGCATAAATAAAAATGGCTGGTGCATCCTGTTCATTCAAATTTGCATTTTTTTTTTTACTTTATAGAAGTAAAAGAAAAAAAGCTCAGTAGTAAATAAAATTTCAATGGGGTATTACTATACAGTATACAGTACTGCATTTGATTTGGGATACAAGGATTACTGTCCTATACATACTAACAGTGATATACAGTACAATTACCCATGTTATTTATGCCTACTTGGTGCATTAAAGCCAACCCATCAAATTGGGAATTAGGTGGCTATTTTTGCATGATGGAAAGCCGAGACAGCAGTTAATACCGAGAGGTTTCAAATTTCTCTTCCCAAACTGCCAACTAATAATCCATAATGTCAGCCTGATTTTTTCTCAATTCCGTCATCATGGTTCCGAAGAACATCTCATACCAAGAAAAGGTTTGCATCCTTGCCTTGGTTGAGGAAAATTAAGTGTTACAAATTTCAAGAATGGAACAGGTGGCCCAAAATTTTGCCGAGTGTGTTATTCCAGCCAGGAAATTGTTACCTGTGAAGCCTGGAAAAAACCTCCAAGAGCACTGATGTACTACTGACGTGAGAATGAATGAAATATCCTTCCATGTACAGTGTGCATCACAGTTGAAGAAAGGGTATTATTGCAGTTTTGTACAATGGAATTTTTATTAGAAATGTGTTTTTCCAATAGTTTAGACAATTCTAAGACGTTTTCCTCACAAATGACATATGTGCTGGCGGTACAGGTGGTCAAGAGGTTAGATTGGTCATTTGCGAAGTAATGAAAATTACATGCTTGTCGTCGCATTCCTAGGATACACAGAGAAACTACAGGTATATCTTTCCGAGTTTTAATGTTCCTTATATACATAATGAACCACAGTAAATTTTCAGCAAGACTTACATGAAGAACATTAGAAGACCTACAGATCTAGGACAGGAGACATGACTAGCCAATGCAATAGTTCAGTTATCATAAGTGCAACAAATATTTTTTTGACATGCATTTCTTCCATTTGAACCAAAATTAGCATACAACCCTAACTTAAAGCTTTCTGGAATATACATAATCTGCTGGCAATACAAGAAGGACAAGACAATTCTTCTTGATCATCAGCTATAACCTCTGCTGCCTTTCTTACATACCAAATGAAAATAAACTAAATCTTTAATTTAGAGATGCTTCCCACACTCACCATGCATTTCACACAAATGTGAATCATGTGATGAATCAACTTCAAGTCTTAAAAGACATGTTAATTGCATTTCCATCATCAGTTTTTAAGTCAATGCTATAACATTCTTTTAAGATTCTCAAGCGTCAGGAACATCTTAACAGGGTTTCCTGAAATTCTTGCCAGCAAACTTGGCATTGGACCCAAGCTCTTCCTCAATACGGAGGATCTGGTTATATTTTGCTAAACGCTCAGAACGGCAGGGAGCACCAGTCTTGATCTGTCCTGTGCACAGTCCTACAACTAAGTCAGCAATGAAGCAATCCTCTGTTTCACCAGACCTGTAGGGATGGAAATGCAGAAAATTGTGATTATGCTGTTGACAGTGAATGCATTAAACAGCAGATTACTGAAAATGGGGAAAACATTTACAGATAAACCCAAAGATACTATATCCGAGATGCAATATTTCACTTTAATGATGATTTTAAAAACACCATCTCCCTATAGATACAATCAAAACAACTCGCTTCAATGATATCTATCAAATAGCCATCAATAGCCATTGGTTGGATTTTTTTTTCAGTTGTGCAAACTATGGTTTGTTTATGCTGTACTCAAATTAATCGCTGTCTTGCAAGGATTCCAGCAATGCTTTTCATCAAGTCAGTGACATTTTATAAGGAAATAATATTTAACCCTAAGCACACCTTTACTTTTCAGCCTACCCATGTGCCACCACACGGCCAACCCGCGCACTGCAACCCTATATATGGTTCTTTGTCGATCGTAAAACCTGCCATCAGCATGGCTCCAAGATTATCGGCCAGAATTATATATTGTACTTTACATTTTTTTTTACTTACATAGTGAGAAAACAGCACTAACATTAGGAACTGTGTTTGTAAAGTGTGACAACTGTTGTTTTGAAAATGTGAGCAGTGTTGGAAGTGTGACAACTGTTGTTTTGAAAATGTGAGCAGTGTTGGCCGCTATCATTGTTCGCTCTGTTTATGTGACAAATGCTTTTGTGACTGTGAAGTGAGCAGTGTAACTTTGAAAATGTCTGGGAAGGTCAAGGCATCCAAGACAACCGTGTCTCTGAGGTGAAGCTTGACATTGTTAAGCAGCATGAGACTCCTCACAAGCTGTGTGGGAGTCAGAGTGAAGTCTTCACTCCACCCACAAGAAGCCCCTTAGCCTCGAAGGGGACATGTGATGATGACCAGACTTATTCTTCAGGATGTGGTGAGTGTTGTTTAATTGTTTTGTACTGATAGTAGTACAATAGGAAAATTTTTGTCGGTGATACATATATGTTTGGGGACTGGCTGGGAACGTATCCCATTGAACCCCATGTTATAATGCTCCCTATTTATGATGATACACCCATCTAAGGGTTTTCAGGAACGTAACCCCCATTGAAAAAATTATGAAGGCTAAATGTAGAAAAGAATGCTATGAAAAAAAGGTTGTCATTACAGATGTGCAAACCCTTTGCTGTGCCAGTGAAGTCAAGTAGCCAACATTTTGCACAATGAAGATCACTCGATGATTATAAACATCTAGGGTAGTGTTTTTTACAGACATTAAAATCCTCAAATCTGAATCACATCAAACTGGGCTGCCCTTCAGATATGAACCTTCAATTTAGTTTGTGGCAAAACATCCAGATACTCAAACATACTGTACATACACATATGATTCACATGGCCAAGTCAGCCAGCAACAAGTATTGTGGTTTGTGAAGGGAGGGATTTCAGCAGGAGAGACATCAGTGATAAATATAGAGCATTTCACCGACTGGATCATCAGGGCTCCAGTAGGTGTGTATTCTGTCAATAGTGTACTGTACTTGTACAAGGGGAATTCTTGGATCACCTAAAGAATCTCCAGCCCCAGCTTATGTCACCTTGATAACCACCCTAATTCAATTTGGGGAATGAGGTTAGGTTACAAAAGCATTAGGGTGATTAATCTATAGGTGAAATAAGCTGGGGTGGAGATTCTTCAGGTGATCTGAATTCTTGATTGTCTGGTGTGCTATACCCCACAGCTTGTCAAGTACATTTACCACAATGCCAAAAGTGAAAGAAAGTGAAGCACATGAGTGTTACTAATAATGAAATTAAGATTACCTAAAAAATTTCATCAGTTATGATTTGCGTAGGATGTAAAAACATGATTTAAGACTCAAAATGTTTAGCATTAGATCAAACAGAATTCTGAAAGAGGATTTGAGATTGAAATTAACCCAAGCAGGTCCTCTTTGCTACTTAGCTGAAAAATGGTACTATAGTAACACTCCACTGTCAAAAACTTTTTTTGTTCTCAGAAAAATGAGAAATTATAGCACGATTTAATATTTCCTCCAAAAAACTTTAACTCTGTAATATATCTTTTATTTAATGGTTAAACTTTCTAAACCAAACTCACCTGTGAGAGACCATGGTGCCCCAGCCATTCTTTTTGGCCAGAAGGTGAGCATCAATGGACTCTGTGACTGAACCAATCTGGTTGACCTTAAGCAGCAGGCAATTGCAGGCCTTCTTCTCAACAGCTGTGGTAATGCGCTTAGGGTTGGTCACAGTCAAGTCATCACCAACAATTTGGATTGTTGTACCACTAGTCATCTTGGTCCAGTTCTCCCAATCATCCTGAGTAATCAAAGAAATTAAAAATAATACTTGTTTATATCAGTAATATTGGATTAAATTGTTAAAAACTCAGCAGTTGACAACATTACTGGATATAACTAATGCACTAACAACTAATTATGGTGATCTTGAAAGTTGAATTATGTGTACAGTGACCCCTCGGTTAACGAACTCAATCCGTTCCAGAAGGTCGTTCGTTAACCGAAAAGTTCGTAAACCGAAACCATTGTTTCAATGGGTTTTTGGGTAATTGGTTCCAGCTCACCGAAAATTTCCTAAATTCAACAAAAATGGTAGAAAAGTTCACTTACTTTGAGGTGTGTATGTAGAAGGCTCCTGGATGATGATGATGGGAATTAGAATGGGGGTGGAGGAGAAAGAAGAAAAGAAGGCATTGGGGTGGAAGAGAAGTCACCCCATGGCACCATTTCACCCATAAAATTTTAGTTCTCTTGGTGTATTTCAAGAGTATTTTCTTTAAATCAACATTGGACTGCATTATATATTGTCAATATGTAAAATATATTTCAAAATGACCAATAATTTGCTTGGAAACAGAGAAAAAAAGTGTTTAGTTGAAGAGAGTCTCAAACAAGATGTTACCTCCAGTGAAAACAGAGAGACTAACGCCTGTTTGCTGTGTTAAGAGGCTGGATGCCGCGCATTAAACTAGTCACTTTACCTTCAATTATGTTCAATAATTGTTAAAATTACTAAAAAATTTAACATTAAACTTTTAAAATTATTGAATAGTATAAAGTTCTTGATATTTACTAAAATAGTAAGGAATTTAAGCCCTAGAACCGATTAATGTATTGGTGGACTGATACTAAAGCTGGTTGCCCGGCCAGTGCAAGCGAAAACATGTTGAGGTCGGTTCGTAAGAAATTCGTTAACCAAATTTTTGTTCGTTAACCGAATTGAAGATCCTTATGGAAGGCAGTTCGTTAACCGAGGCGTTCGTTAAACGAGGGGTCACTGTACAGTATAACAATGTGGAATACTTTATCATAAATTACATAAATAATTGAATAGCCTAGTTCTAGTTATTTATGTGGTTGTAGTTGAAATACATTATCATAAATTACATATATAATTGAATAGCCTAGTTCTAGTTATTTATATGGTTGTAGTAAAGAGGTGAAAGCAAAAGTGATGGAGTGAGGATACAAGTTAGGCGATTAATGTTATGGAATATATGAATAAAAATATGAGGCAAGTCAGCTGCTGTTTACAAATGACAATACTCTAGTGGGCAATTCAGAAGAAAAACTGAAATGATAGAAATACTCTTGAGGAGTTTGAACAAGGAAAAAATTGACAATGAATGAACAAAAGATGTGATGAAAACAATTACAGAAAGGAGATATAAAAATTAGCTCAGAAATGTGGTGTTTCAGATATCTGGGAATGGGTATGTCAGCAAACATGTGTGATGAACCACAGACTAACAAAAGTAAGTACAGTAATAGATGGATGGAGAACTGTATGAGGAGAAAGTACCATGTCAAAGGAAGCTGAGGATCTGTTAAGCTGCTGATAATATTTATTACATATATGTGTGAAGCAATGACTTGGTATGCTATATGAGGAAGCAAATTGAAAATTATAAAAGACAAATTTTGCCAAGTGTACCCTCTTTAATTACCTGATCGAAGGGGTCCTCAATGGACACAATGGGGAAATCCTTGCAGAATTCCATATACATATCCCTGAGTTGGTCACCAGAAATCTTTTGTGATCCATCATTGTTGGCAGTCTTGAAGTCCAAGTCATAAATATTATTTTGCTTATAGAATTCTGATGCAGCCACATCCATACCAATTTCAATTTTGCCCGTATAGCCAGCCTTCTTGATGGCTTCTTGGATAAGGTCAAGGGCATCCTTGTTGTTAAGAATGTTAGGGGCAAAACCACCCTCATCGCCAACAGCAGTAGCATCCAGACCAAAGCGGGCCTTAATAACGGCTTTCAAGTGGTGGTAAACTTCAGTACCCATGCGCATAGCCTCAGTAAAGCTGGTGGCACCAGTAGGGAGGATCATGAACTCCTGCATGGCCAGCTTGTTGCCAGCATGGGAGCCACCATTGATTACATTGAAGGCTGGTACTGGCAGAATAACCTCATCGTAGTTAGCAAGATTGGCAATATGCCTGTCAATAACAATTACTGTATTAGTTTACTGAATTTTTCATTAAATTATATTAACTTTTATAACATATTGATTAATTTCTTACAAACTAGAGCAAAGTTATTTAAACACTCAATAATAAAAAATTTGTAATGAGTACAGTATTCATTTACAGTACTGTATATTACAAGGATACAATCTATAGCAAATCACATTTTTTTATGCTTCTGTCTATGAGCCTAAAATTTATTTATAAAGAACAACCTGTTCTCATTTCTGCCATTAATACAAATGTTATGTCCACACACAGGTTGTAGTAAATAAATTTACCTGTAGAGAGGAATGCCAAGTTCAGCTGCACCTGCCTTGCAGATGGCCAGGGAGACACCAAGGATTGCATTGGCTCCTAAGCTACTCTTGTTCTCTGTGCCATCCAACTTGCACATGAATTCATCGCACTCCTTCTGCTGAGTCACTTTTAAACCCTAAAGAAACAAATTAGGTAAATTTAGACTAAATACTAGTTATTGTACTACTAATACCCATTCACATTTACCAGCATCCTTGTGCCCAAACAAACCAATTTTAGAATTTTAATACTGCACTCATCGAACCACTAATGCTAGTAATCATACAAGCTTAAAATCTTAAACAACTCTACCCCTAAACTCAGTGGTGGGCGCGGTTCCGCTAATTAGCGAAGCTCACTTTCTCGTTAGCAGATTAGCGTTTTCGCTAACTTTGGAAACCATTAGCGGACCAATTAGCTAAATTTAGTTCCGCTAACAAAATATATACATGTTTGTTCCTGTCTGTTGTAAGCGTGTGACGCCGCGACGCGTGTCTCTAACAGCCAGTCAGGCACGCTTGGCTGACTGCGTGTTAGTACGTGTAAACGTGACAAGACATGATTTGTCGACTTTTCATTAAAGTTTAGAGTTTTCTGTTTATTTACATGACTAAGACCAACAATAAGTTATATAAAATTGCACTGGTATAATGACTAAGACCAACAATAAGTTATATAAAAGTGCACTGGTATAATGTGTATGTGGTTGGTATTGCATATTTACATGAATAATGAATAAGGCTGATAGGTTGTATGAGAATGCAAATTAATTATTTGTGAAATTATGTACAGTGTACGTACACCTTGATAAGTCGATCATCATCTGATCTTGGAATGATGCTATTTGCTACCTATGCTATACACCTTTTCACATATACTGTACGTTGAGACATTGTTATCTACCTATTTGACAAATTTCATAACTGAATGACAGAACACATATCGAATGACAATCTAAAATAACTGTTGGTGGTATGTCATTCTCCAATTGTTACATTCTCAAACTATATGTAGACTGTCGGTTTATTGTTCGCGGCTGTCAATTTCATAACTTATGTCAATCATTTCCGTTAGCATGAACGAACAGTTATTTTAGATTGTCATTCGATATGTGTTCTGTCATTCTGTTATGAAATTTGTCAAATAGATATATAACAATGTCTCAACGTATATGTGAAAAGGTGTAGTTTTTGGATTCGTTTAATACTTTCTGTCTTTTCGTACAGTAAATAAAGATTATAAAGTGTATGTTGAAACTTGAATGTAAACTATTGTGTAATTTCATTTGTTCATTTAATTATTTGTGTACACCTTGATCATCATCTGATCTTGGCATGCTATACCTTTTTGGAAAGCTCTATGTCTAAGATACAAGACAACATATGAAAATTTCACTGTATAATAAAAGTTAGCAGTTAGAGTTAGCTTCCGCTAATTTTTTTAGTTGTTTAGCATTAGCTAAGTTAACTTTCTAGTTAGCAGATTAGCAGTTAGCAAAGCTAACTTTTCGTTTAGCTGTGCCCACCACTGCCTAAAGTACATTAATCAAAACATTTATATATATCAATGACATCATGTATACAGTATTACCCCGCCTAACGCGGTTTCACTTAACGCGTTTTATCATATACGCGGTGCCTCGCCAGAGCTGAACTTTCACTTAACGCGGAATTTTTCATCATATACGCGGGAAGCGGCGCGGGCACGATGCGCACAAGGTCGCCCAGTCATCAAAACATTACCGAGTTCTTCACCCGCCACCCACCACAGCCGGCCCAAGTCAGTGATAGTGATAATTATAGTGAGGATATGGACTTATATGGCCTTTGAGGGGTTTGACAAAGAGGCCCTGCAAGCCTCTGTGGTGGATAGTGATACAATTGATACAAGTGATACAGGTGAGGGCCAATAATCTGCCCTCTGCCTCGGAACCAACCCCCCATCCCCGTGTGCCCAGCCATCTTTTCTACTAATGCAAGTGTTAAAAAACCTAATATTATTGATATTTCTCTTAATTATTAATTGTGTGTGCATACCATCATAAAGTTAAGATAAAATTTTTACTACAACATAGTTGTGTGTCGTCAAAAAGTGGAGTTTGGGGGTCGGGCCAGTCTCTATTGGAATTAATCCCATATGTTCTGTTGTTCACTTAACGCGGTTTTCACTTAACGCGGTACCCTGTGGGTTCAATTGACCGCGTTAAGCGGGGTACTACTGTACTATTTTTTCCAGTAAAATAATACAAATTATATAAGAAAACCCAAGCGGATTTATTTGCGTTGTTTCAAAGATATTTTCCCTCTGTTAAGACCTAATTGGCATATCAAAATCATAAAAATGAGTAGGGTCCTGAATCCTATTTTCTAGCATGCAGCTTTTGTTATTATGCAAGCCAATGTTGGCAGGTAGTAATCTCTGATTACCTCAGAACTGTGATCCTGCTTTGCCAGTTAAGAGTGTGCCTGGAAGTACAGGGTGCTGTGCTACATATAATGTCCTATTCGAACTCAGTAAAAGTGAGTTGGCAATAGCGAAGGCATCGAGCCATAAAAATTGCTTTAAATTTGTCTGATGGCAAATAGCACACCATGCCATCAGGTAAATGGCAATAGAGCACTGGCAATACTGAGAAAGAGGGTTTGGTGTTGGTTCAAGGCACTTGGAACCCAATCTTACAAACATCAATTCCTCCCTGCTGCATCACTCTGCCTCAAAAAGGGATATTGGGTGCAAAGGTACCCTTGCCCAGGCAGGAAACCTATTTGATCAAGTGTCCACCTAGTCTGCACAAACTTGTTGCTATCTTGTCAAATTCTGGGTTAAATGCAATATAATACAGTAATGTAGTTAATCTATTAAACCAGGAGCAAATACATAGCCATGGTTTTAAATTAGATTTAGGTGGGAATTAGGTAAACATTGCTTTGGAAATACTGTAGTAGTGTTTTGGATCATTGGATGAGTGGAACAAGTTGCAGACACCAACATTAATCCTAAATAGCTGGGAAACTTGACAAATAAAAGTTGGACTGATATGGGCTGGGTGTAAACAGGGATGCCTCATATGGGCCAACAGACCTCGTATAGTTCTTTCATTCTTTAGGTACATTATGAAGCAGGAGCACTGGCAATAATGCTAGCCTTACCAAATATTGTACCCTCTAAACAATTCATAAAGCATGTCAACAAACCTCAACTAAACAATACAGTAGACAAGTCTTACCTTCAGTGTAATGTCTAAAACTAGTCATCCCTAGGAGCTACCACAGAAATGTCACAATATAAAGTAGACACTGCTCAAACTAGTAAGGGAGAACTTCAGTCATATGTTTTCTACGGTGCTCAACTGGATATTGAAACAAAAAAGCAAACTGATCTTATAATTCAAAAGATTGCAGCCTGTAATTGGCAATAGGTGTGTAAAAACCAAGTGGGCACATTTTCTATTAAATATCCTGCCTCTAGGTTTGGTAATTGTAACATGAGCCCCAAGTGCTTTGTGGGGAAAAAGGCATGTGAAGAAATGAAAGAATGCCTGGAAATTTCTGAAACATAATGTAACTATAGTACTGCATTATGATAAAATTACAGTACTGTACAATACGGTTGTCCAACAAGATCACAGCAAGAAGTGTGGTAAACCGAACACAGTCCACAACAATGATAATGCGCCATCTGCAATGAATACTGTACTGTACAGGTGTATAGACCAAACAGCCACAAATTTTAATGTTACAATATAAACCCTTTGATTGCAGATGCCATATGAGGTACAGTCTGCTTCTGGCAATTGATAGTGGATGTCCCTAATACAGTAGGTGTTAAATCCCTTCACTATGGTGATGCCACATTTTAATATCTTTTAATATTTTATTTGGCTAACGCCAGATGATTTTAAAGATTGCATTTTTAAAGGAAAGCTATGCACATACTGTACAGTGACCTCCTATCAATCAAACAGTAGTGAACATGATTCCCCTTATGTAAACTTGGCTTTCCTGTACAGTTTAAGAAATTATCTTGCATAAATTAAAAATAACAATCTTCCTTATGCATCTACCATGAAGTTACATTATTAACCATATTAACTTTAGAAAAATTTAATATACCGGTACTGAAAAAAAAATCATCGATACTTACACTCTTGATGATTTCTGGAGCAATGACATCATTGACATTCTTGACAGCATTGAAGACAGACTTCCCATGATATTTAGATTTGTCTCCATCACGCATTTCCAGGGCCTCATGGACACCTGTGGATGCCCCAGAGGGCACAGCTGCACGGAAAAGACCCTTTTGGGTATAGAGATCAACCTCCACTGTGGGGTTACCACGGGAATCAAAGATGGTGCGAGCGAATACCTTGGTGATAGACATTTTTGTGGCTGCTTGATGGAATCTGGAGAACGTAAGATAAAAAGAAAAACTTTAACAAACACACACCAAACATATAGACACACATGCACAGTATTCTTGTAAAGAAAAAGTATTGGAATTTTCTGGTGAAAGGGGGGTCTGGACCCCCAGGACCCACCTTTGTCATTATAAAATTATCTGTGCACGGGTCGGCTAGTGCCCGTAAAAAAAAATATTTTTTCAATTCATTTAATTTGATATACATAGTCACATACGGGCCCCCTTAGAAACCTTCCCTATACCCAAAGGACATTTTCAAGTAGTACACCTCGACATCGTGGGGCCTCTTCCATCATCCTACGGTAGCACCTACATCTTCACCTGCATCGACCGTTTCACCAGGTGGACAGAAGCCATCCCCATGCCCAATGCTACAGCAGAGTCTGCTGTCCGCACCTTCATGTCCGGTTGGGTTTCCCGTTTTGGCCCCCCTGCAACCGTCATCACTGTCCGAGGAGCCCAGTTTGAGTCACAACTCTGGCAGGACCTCCTCAGTTCCTCGGTATTTCTAGGCAACGCACTACTGCATACCACCCTCAATCCAACGGCAGCTGAAAGACGCACTCAAGGCACAGCACGACCCTTACAGCTGGACGGATGCGCTGCCCTTAGTGCTTCGCGGCATACGTGCATCACACAAGGTGGACATGGACTGTAGCCCAACAGATATCACACTAGACGAGCCCCTTCGCCTACCCGGAGATTTCTCACTCCCTCCTGACCTCCACCAACCCACTCCTGCCGTTCGTCACGACTTACTCCAAAAGCTACGACAAGCAGTTTCTGCATTCAGAGCTACTGCTCCACGCCAGCCTCCTCGGCGCCCTGAACACATCCCTCCTGCACTACTCACTGCCGAGTATGTTTTCGTCAGGCATGATGCTCACCGCAACCCACTACAACGCCCCTATGATGGACCCTTCCAGGTTGTTACCCGTTCAGCGAAGTTCCTGACGATTATCCGGAATGGCAGACATGACACCGTCAGCATAGACCGAGTCAAACCGGCCACCTTACCCACTGGGTCCCCAGCCCAGCAGCACCCCCTAATTCTCCCACAGGTTATGTGTCACTAGACAGAGTTGTCACCCGCAGCGGCCGAGTCGTACGTACACCTGCCCGGTATGTATCACTTGTGGGACGCAACCCTGCCAACATCCAGCCTCTCGCCGTGCCCGGAGGGGAAGGGGAGTATTGTAGTGGACCCCATCCCTACAAGTGACGACTGAGCTCCCGCGCGCCTACCAGCCAATCAGCGTACAGCCAGCAATGCTGATAGACCTACTCTCCAGTGCGGATGCGCACGTAGCAATGCTAGGACCAGTGCCGGGTGTGCCTGGCCTCCTCCTCTGTGATTTGCTCTCTCGCTACGCGCACCCCAAATCCTGATGTTTGTGAATTGTATAAATACGGCCATGGCTGGCCAGGGAGACCATTCTTCTCTGACCTACTGGACCAGCAATATCTCTCTCCAGCACCTCACCACCCAGCTCCCTCAGAGAGCTCCTCGCCCTACAGGAACTCCGAGCAAGCTACTCCTCACCTAGTAACTCCTTAGCACTGCACTGCACTGTACAACAATATTATATATACAGAAAATGCATTGTGAGTTTCTATTCTACCTCATTCCTGAGTGTGAGATATCTACATGTACGTACGTTTGTGTGGCCATACAAAGAGACAATAGACAACTAAAGAGAATTGACAACTATCCACATACAGTACGTTACAACCCTACTCCATTTTCAGATACCATAAGAAATATACTGTATAAACCTTTAATGGATTTCTTAAGACTACATGGGAGGATCGATATTATTGTTTCCAATGAAGATGCCTATATGATCATGTACAGTAGTCAAATTTTCTGCACCCCTGGGTCTGACTGCCTTCACAACGATCACTGAACCCATGCTATCTGGTTATGATGCATTGTGTAACCAATACGATATATTCTGGATATCACGTATAGTTAATACAAATAAATTAACAGGATTACCTATAAAATCTGTGTTGTTCAGAATTTTTAGTCTGGCGTGTCGTATTGTATAACACCGTAAGGGGACAGATATTTTTTTTTAACTATATGCGGAACCAATGTAATCTTGCATGACAAACTGACGATTTTAAAGAATAAATATTGGTATTGTGTGGTACGGGTTGTTGTCAATATTCTCAAAAGGGATGGGAGGAGCAGTTACAGTTGTGGTTGATACAGTGCTGGGGCGACAGCTGCCAGCGCGTGATGTAGAGAGAGCTGGTTGGTGAGGGTGCTCAGAGGAGGACCAGCTTGTGGGTCGCCATGCTCGCCGGCGGCCCTCGCTCCCGCCGGCGAGCATGGCGACCCACAAGCTGGTCCTCCTCTGAGCACCCTCACCAACCAGCTCTCTCTACATCACGCTTGTAACCACGCTGTCACTTCCCAGCACCAAGCTGCACTGTACATCCAATACAACATGTATACAAAGAGCACATTCTGAGTTTCCTTTCTCCATCCCATACTGAGAGTGAACCAAACATCACGTACCCCACAGTATCTCAAATCGAAATGTCATGAGACAAGAGACCAGGAAGAGCCATGATTATTTACGAAAACTTTTAATGCATATTATAAACATGGGCTCTAAGCCGAAGTAAGATAATCAAAGGACTTTGTCAGTTAGTATGGCTGCAGCGTATCACGCCGGCGCGGGCTGGCTCAACTTGGCAACTGGAGGACGCCCCAAGGTCACCTTGTAAGCATCACGTGATCTACTACTTCACCCATGTAATCTCGCACTCTTAACGCCTCAGAGTCTTTCGGTCACTACTTAAACAAATGCATGAGCTTCACATAGTCAACCAAAACATTCTGATGTTATGAAAACGTATTATCTTATTCATTTTTTTATGAACGGGGTAGCCCGGTAGGGTGGTATTATTCAAAATATTAATCGACATTAATTATAAAAAATTTAACTTCTGAAACGTTAAAGAATATGCATCACCAGCTAATATGATAAAACAAACGCATCGAACACGTAACACCATTAACTATAACGTGTATATATATATATATATATATATATATATATATATATATATATATATATATATATATATATATATATATATATATATATACAGTATATATATATAATATATATATATATATATATATATATATATATATATATACAATATATATATATAATATATATATATATATATATATATATATATATATATATATATATATATATATATATATATACACACACGTTAGAGCCGATGTTGGACCTAGCCAGGTTGAACCACATCGCAATCGCCCGGCCACTGATGCTCAAGACACCGCCTTGTTTTTCTGTGCAGAATTTAAGCTGTATACAATACTGTCTTCCATCACAACCACAGTAAGAATCTTCTGAAAATGTAAGAAACACGTATTTTATAAAAATACCACCGATTGCTATCTGCTCTACTTCTACACAGACACTATGCACACCAACCTTTGCTCTCCAACTGGCAACTATCGAACCTGGCTGGGCGGTTTTGTAGCCTTGCACCAGCGCCCTCTGGCAACCTCAGTCTAGACTATTATTAATGTCAACCTTCCGGCGTCCGCACAGAAGGTCCATATTTACACGAGTCTAACGCATGCGTCTTACCAACTTTAAGGCTTAGCAACGTGGGGAAACTGTGGGGGGTAAAACTTGTCAAGTTATGTCCTGCGCCAAGGTCATGCCAAAGTGACACAGGCAATGACCTAGACATTCGGCACTCCGCCACTGCACTGCTTTTGGCACTGTCACCGTTCAAAGACCACGCCCACTAACACACCCAGTTATCTCACCACCCTCCTTCAATTCACCACTTTTCCTCATTCCCTTGTGCTAAATAATTACCATTCTATACGTCGAGCAGTGATGCTAAAATGGCACCATATGTTAGCAAATGTAGACAAAACAGATACAATTATCATTAATATTAGCAACACACAGATTATCAGTGTCCAGCGTAACGTATCTATCATGACTGGTACTTTCCGGTCACTCCGCTTTACTCCGACAAAACTTGTAAACCCATTGACAATGGCACTCACTGGATTTCTAAGACAACCAGTAATTCGTAACCGATAAAGTCATCCAGCGTTTGTGTACATATATCTAATAAACCTGAAAACATGTTACCTCCAATAAAGATTTTTGAAAACTTAAAACTGATAGCTGTAAAAAAACTTAATGTGATCGTGTTGAAGCCCATATATTTAATACTGACAGATGCAACAATGATGTCTTCCTCGCCAAGGAAGGCAATGAAAGCAGAAGGAAGGGACGAGAAAGAACTAGTCAGAAAAATGAATACAGTAGAAACTTACTGTCATCTCCACCCATCACTACCCATAGTGAAAATAACTGAAAGATCAAATAAGCAATGAAAATCCTTTTCTATCTCTAATCTTTCTTGGCATTACCTTAGGCAGAGATGCGAAAAGGAAAGAGGGCGAAATTAATCAAAACTACCTTCCCCTTTCAAATGAACGCATACAGTAATAATAATTTGGTTAGGATGCTTACAAGTAAGCTGAAAACGTTAACAGAAAATCAACGACCCAAGAGAATAAAAATAACTTCCAGGGGCGGATCCAGGGGGGTCCGGACCCCCTTTTCACCAGAAAATTACAAGACTTTCTTTAACGCAGTATTGTACTCAGGCATTTTTGTATATCTTCTAATAGCAAGTGCACATGGCTTCAAAATGTCCATAAAATTGGTCAGATTTCAAAACGGTTTCGAGCCCCAGGGAAAAAAGTGGGCTCGCTATGTTCCCCCACCCACAACTTCCCATTACAAAAAGACAATCTTAGAACAGTTTGCAGCGGTGTTATATGCCTCAGTCAAATAACATGACCACTGATATCAATTATTTATGGTGTTATAGCCAGCCCTCAAAATTATTATAATTTAATATATGGAGAAATTGGATATGTGCAAGAGCAGTTATTTGTATTACCAGTTCCTCTCTACAAATACTTCAACTGCCGGTACGCCTAACTCCTATCAAATGTTTCCATGGTATCTTAGGATTTATGGGGTATTATAGAAATACAAGTAAATTCTTAAATCCCCCAACTGCCGACAGACGGTAAAGGCCCGTTTAAACCAGTTCATCCAATGAGTAAGAAACAACTGCGATTCAGACAATCAATAAAATGAAGACGTACACTCGGTAAAAAAAATAACCTATATCTTTATAATTATTGTGCGATAAAATGACACAAACGAAGGTTTTTGATAAAGACCCTTGAGGCATACTAATTTTATATTTTGAATGAAATAACTAAATTAGGCCTACCATAATAGGTAGGAAATGTCTCACTCACACCTACCAACCCCAGCGAAACAATAGGAGTGTTTAGTTCCAAATTCATCGGACCCTCCTGAATTTTTTTTTACCGAATACACAGTATACAGCGCCATCAACCTCTGGAATGTGACCACGCCTTACTAGCGTTCGTCTCCGAACCAAAGTTACTCGTTGCAAAGTACTTAGCTCGTATCAATTAATATAAGCTAGTAGAGTTTTTGTTACACACAAGCTCGAATTTTGTGCTTTTGTTTCCTTGTATCCTACAGCCCTCTCTTCCGGCAAATTAATCAGATCCAAGTCTGTGGGCAATATACCTTAAAATAAAAGAGGACAAGATACGAAATACTACTCACTAGGTCATCTGTCCAATTCATGTAAATTACAATCTTAAATTATACCCAAAGTGGATTGGTGCAAATATGAATTTACACAGTCATTGGGGGTATTTCAATGATAGAGCTGAAGAAACTTCGCAAAACGACGTATTGAGAAGTGACAGCCTTTTGACCCCTGTGAACCAAGAAGCACAAACACATCAATGAAAAGGATGACGCCTACGTTAACTTGAAGTCGATTCATCCAGACTGACTAAGGGTTAACGCAAAAACCCACAAACACACCGTGAGTCTGCAATACCCGTTAACCAAGCCTGGCCGAGTGTTAATATTTTCATAAATCATATGACGGCTGTTCCACACTACCAAAAAAGGGTGCCATCACCTTGGAACACCCTTCAAACCTCCCAGGAAAAATTCTAAACCACGGTACTCAAGCCGAGGGCAAGTACATCAACACTAGGAAGACAGTATATTGCAAGGAGTGATCACAGACGGGAGTCATTCAGGGCATTACTTCCCTTTCTTATTCTCGTCTCAAACGCCTTTTTTTCATAAGTCAGCGGCACTTTCCCTCAACAGCCGGATATCAATGCCAGGATTTTTCAGACTATATTTCAGCATTATCGCCTACAACCTGTAAGTTTAGTGTATAAGAAGTCGACGGATAATTTCCATCCTTTTCAGCTGTGACCTTCGGTAACCTCCTCCTCCTCCGCACGCCAGGCGAGCCACCTCGACAATAATCAATAACGTAGCTTCGAGACTAGCCACACTAACCCATTTCTTATCTCCATACCACGAGCTAATCACATGATTTGGGTTGAATACTTTACAGTATAGTGTATACGATAAAACGAGTCCACGTAAGAGAATGATTTCTTGTTACAGTATACTGGCTATGCTGTACAATTTAACAAAAGGTACGGTGTTGTGGTGGTTGTCAAGACATCATGCATTACAGTGGAATGTGCACATTCCACTGCATATTAAGCGACTGAGTGGGTGGTTCGCTACCCATGACACGTCATTTACAGAAACAGACGCAGTCTTAGATACCAAATTATTGGTGCATTTCATGCATGTGAAAGAGTAATCTTTATCAAGGATGATTTAATTAGCGACGAATTTATTAAGATGTGCTGTACCTAAATTCCTAAACCCAAATATGTTGAGCTCACAGCTTTCGTCTGCTTTATAGTCATTCATCAGATAGGTAACCTCAAACAAAATATAACTTATTAATCAATGAAATAAGCATAAGATCTCAAAATGATTAGGCAACCCCACTTATTTCACATGATGATTAACCAACCCAATGTTTTATATATATATATATATATATATATATATATATATATATATATATATATATATATATATATATATATATATATATATACCATCGGATCTGGAAGTCAATAAATTCAAGCAATATCTTCAGGTCAAAATACTGTACTTAGTTTAATATCTTTAAGGATAATGCTAGAAGCAGGAAGGCTCTTTAATGTAACCCATTTTATTTGCCTAATAGTCACCCACTAGATTCTTAGAGGTGGCCATGCCGAGGGAATGAGGCCAGTGGCCTGTGTATGATCCCTCCATTGTTCTTGATAATTTTATCAAGGGTTATTTACTGTTTCATATGAACAAGTCTTGGGTTTAACCTTCACTGGTTGAACGAAAATCACTAAGGCATGGCCGTCCCTGCCCACTGGCTTTCTTATGGTGTTCGAAACAAGACAATGTTTTGAATATTCGTGGTGCTTTACGACTAATGAGCAACAGTTTTACTACGAATTATAAAATAATTTAGCAACGTTGTACAACCACATTTGTCATTTATTTAAAAGCCCAAAATATTTTTCAAATGCTTCGAGAATACTCATTTACCTTTAAGAACAAAATCTGATACAACAGCTTCGTGGGTTAACCTACCAAGGTCACCTATTACACAGTAACGTTTGTTACATAACCATCGGTGTTTGTCGTGCGTCTGGCACCAACAATGACACTAGCCGCGACGCAAGCTCAGGAATGTGAGTCGTACAGTAATCAAGCCAGCCTCAACTACTCTCATCCCAAAAATGACGATCAAATACAATTTAATATTTAAACTTCACTTAACGTTCGTTCTTGTTTATTCCACGGATTGAGGAAACGTAAGTTAAAAGCAGTGTCCAAAAACAATAATACATAATAAAGCCTCCGAAGGCACTCGATGCCCTTAATTTTGTAGTGAAGTTAGTTAAATGGAATCCATACGTAATAATTAAAATGCAAACAGAATAAGACATCTTACAACATGAAACCATCACTAACGATTAGTGGAGCTTCGAGAAACTCCCATCGTTTCACTTTGCCATATTGGGTTAAACACAGATTGTCATCAATTACAAGGGAACGTCATCCACTGATAGTATCCTGATATTTAAAACGAAAAGAATAAGACTCCAGACAAATTTTACACGTACACACCTGGAAATCCCGAAAGAGCTTCACCGGCTGACAGGAAAGAGATAAGTGACGTCGGCGCTCGGCGACCTTTTCGAATGACAAACATGGAGATAAATCACACGGATACACAAAAATAGTTCTATTAATTGTTTCATTCTAAACTCACGGGAATTAAACAATATAAAGTTCTGTGCTCAAAAAAATGCATAATTAAACTTATTCTCTACATTTTTCAACATAACAGTAAACTTATCCACATTAAAATCATTCATGAACACCCACCACCTGCGTCTACGTGCGTTGCTGAGCGGTTAAAATAAATTAAAACGGAGCAGATGAGATTAGATTAATAATTATTCAGCCAAGCAATTTAACAGCATTCATATGAATCAGAGTTACGTTGTTTGCAATTTAATCACTTTTTTATTTTGAAATGTTTGTAATTGGGGGATAGGTGACATAAATTCCCTAATGTAGGAAAGGATGGTCTTATGAATGAAATCTGTATATGTGAACATTTGAAATTAAATTATACATCAATTTAACAATTAAAAAAATTTCAATATAAACTTTACATATTTTTGTTTACAACAAATCGGAGGCAGATCTAGAATTTTGAAAGGGATTTACCCACCCTAAGCCAAAGGGCAGTACCGGCCGGGCCGGCAATGGTGTGATCCGTAGACACAGCTGCATATGTATCGTCAAGCGTGTATGTTGCCGGGCCCGAGACAAGTACTATATGTACTGTTGGTACATCAGGTTATTAACATGTAGCATTTTGCAAAACGGACCATTTAAAGGTATTTAACAGTTGTTATACCCGTGAAAAGCAGGTGTGGAATATCTTATTATGAGTACTGTACAGTATATTGTAAGTTGCGATTATACAAATTGGCTTCTTTGTTGACTAATAACAGATATTACCACTTTATGTCACGCTACAGAGGGTGACAAGAACTAAATTATTTTATCTGTGGAGGGTGGTGGACCTAGGGAACTGTCTACCAGTTCAAGCTGTGGCATAGAGGAGTCCTCTTATCGTTAGTAGAACGTGTTAAGTGAGTGAGTGTCGAGTTTGCCAGCTGGAGTGGCGTATTTAATGTCGTCCGTGGGGGTATCCATGAGTTTCTGATCGCGCCTGAAGTTATATCATTTTGTCGCCCCGACATCAGAGAATCTGATGTTTATAGTTTAGTTAGTGTCAGTTGTCTATTTAAGAAAGTCATTAATCTCCTGAACTATTCTGTCAACTGGTATAAGCTCCAAGATCTAGCGCCTCCCCGTGAATAGCTCCTTGTTCGCCTCAAGCCTGAGCTTGCAGAATTAATGTTATCAACGTGTGTATTCCACCTTTTCCTGGCAAGCTCAACCTCTGATTAGATTATATGAATAGACATAGGAAATTACCCTGATCAAGAACACCGGAGTTCATAAACAAGTATACAGTGATCCAAAATGATACAGAAGTTATGTTGTTGGTAAGATCGACCCTTCTGGTATGAACGGAGGCCTGTAGGGTTACGTGATATTATGTTGTCTAGCACTCAGGATGGATGGATGGAAACTCTAAGGCGGTGGTTTTCTTATATAATATAAGTTATATGAAAGACAGTCTGGTGCTGGAGATGCCGTGTGGTGAGGAGCTGCTCAGTAGACACGTTCGGTGAGTAGCGTGCTGAAGGAGGTAGATGTGCAGGAGCTTCGTTCGAGGAGATGTTGCCTGTTGCTGGCCTCCTGGTTGAATGAGAGCTGGACAGCGAGGAGCTTGCTTGGAGGACGTGT